TAAAGTGAAATGACAGAGGGACAAGTATTGAACACAGTTACTGTTGTGCTCCCTTTATTTAATATTAGTTCTTCAAATTGTACAGCCACCATGAGCACCCGGTAAAGGGTGAGAGGACAGCTTCAGGTCTAAACTTTCTTTAATAGAGCTGAGAGTGGTCTACAAGAAATACAGAAAAAAGAAACCAATGGAAACTATAATTTTCATTCGCCATAAATAGCCATTTCTAATTTGTCCAGCAGGTGGCAGCAAGAGACCTCAAATAAATCACAAACCGCATACTGTTTAAATTGCAATATATATTTAAGCAGCACAGCTGCAGCTTGAGATTACAATGGACCAATCACAGGAAACATTATTACTTCCTTTGCTCTTAAAGTGATAAACAGAGTTTTATTGGTCCACCTTCTACAGTTACAGAAATTAATTTAACACATTGTACAAAAGTCTTTATTGCAATGACAGCTTCAAGACGCCTCCTGTATAGAGAAATTAATCACATGCATTGCTCAGGTCTGATTTTGGCCCATTCTTCCACACGAACAGTCCTCAAATCTTGAAGGTTACGTTGACCTCTTCTATGAAATCTGATCTTTAGTTCATTCCATAGATTTTCTATTAGATTCAAGTCAGGTGATTGCCTGGGTGATTCTAGCAGCTTTATTTTCTTTTACTGAATCCAATTAAGTTTCCTTGTGTGTGTGCTTGGGGTCAATTCCTAGCTGAAATGTTGTGCAGCACACCTTAATCAAGCTTCATCATGCTTTTTCTTCAGCAATGGAGTCTTGCATGGCGAGCGTGCATACCAGCCATGGTGGCTGAGTGCATTTATTATTGTTTTCTTTGAAACAATTGTTGGACAACTCTTCTATGTGTGGATTGTATGGATTGTTACTGACATCTGGTGAAAATATCACGTCAATAGCACCTCTAGAAATATATTTACAGAGAAAAATTGTGTGTTCAATACTTAGTTAGATTTCACCTGTTGTATAGTAAATGCTCCACTTATTTTAAAGGAAATAAAAGAAGTATGGGATCAGTTGAAAAAAAACAACCCCGAAGGTGGCACCGAAAATCTGCAGCCAGAAGACTTTGTCGTTGATGTAAGTTTTTATCTACAATTTTTCACATTAGACAGAATATCTACATATGTAAATAGGACAATTCTGCTAAGATTAACATTTGTTTTCTAGTTGTAATTCAATCCCAGGAATTGAATTGCTTTTTGCGTTATTTATTGTATTTGCTGACCTAAATTTCATTCTTTTGTAGGTAAAAGAAATAAACTATGGGATGAAGGAAAAGGACCCAATAGAGCATGTGTGGTTCTACAAAAAGGACGATCCAACAAAGCCCTTCGGACTGCATAGAGATCAAGTATGAATAAAAAATAGCACTGTAAAATTTAAATCTTCCAATCTGTAGATTCTGGATCTGCATTCATTTTTATTTATTTATTTATGCTATACTCAAAATGTAGAGAATTTATACAAGATCTTTTCCTTAAGCAATTTTCATTCCTCGATTTAATACAATATTTCTTGTTTACTTTTTAGGTTTCTAACCTTCTTCCAGGAACATTTAGCGAGAAAATAATCAGAATCTACTGCAAGAAGACTACTAAGGAGACTCTGGAAGCTGACAAAATTCACTTCGAGCAATATAAGAAAATACATGACAGAAGGCCCAATGCATAAGTTCTGCTTTTCTTTGAGCTGTATTTGACAGCAGCAGAACAGCTATTTTAAGGCAATCATTATTAATTTCCTAATTGTTACTAATACGTTTTTATAGATATTGATTTGCTAATTCATACCCCTAACAGCTGGGTAATGTGAATAAGGCCAGAACAATGGATGACAATCTGCCACATTTTATAGCTTCACATACAGTTAAATATACAGTTACAACAATTAAAAAAAGCTAAATTCATTACTAAATGGTGATAACACCTCAATAGTTTTGGGTCTAATGACATCAACAAACAAAAAGTAACCAAATGAAACCAAACGCATGGAGATTGGTGACAAAAATATATATATTTTTCAAAAATTACATCATAATCATTCAGAGACAGCAAATTGGATTGATCAATCAATAAATGTATCACTTAGCCATAGAAGAGCGTGCCACAAATGCTTTTCTATTTCTTGAGTGTGCTCTAGACTCTCAATACAAGCAACCCTGTTTTCTGTTGCATAATGGGATTAAGTAAAAAATGTGACGTGCCCATAATTATAAAAATTCCACTTAATAAACTTGGTATTGGGGACTATAATCAAAAGGGGAAAGATATGTTTTTGTTGAGCTTTGATGTTAAGGGATATTTTCCTCTAAAGTGAAGGTGTTGATTTGTGGTGTTATCTATATTTAAAATAGAATAAAATGAATTAAGATAAGGTTTTATTTTAGAATGTAATTACTGCTGTTAGGAGGCTTGTTATAGAAAATATATCTTTATATCCCTTTATAGATATATGCATTTATTTGGGTTTTGTTTTGTTTTTATCTAAGCCAGTTTTTTAAAGAAAAAAATACATTTTAGCCAGTCTCTTGATTAAAGTGGGTTTTTAGGGTTTTTTCTTTTTTTTTTTTTTACATAGAAATTACTTAAAGGTCCAATATTATGAAAAATTTTCATTTTAAACAGTTTGTAACAGTCATATGAGTCCTGAAGCCTGCATATGGAATTCACAATGGGGAAAAAATCCTTTCAACTCCATCATTGCCTTTGTCCACCTCTTAGCTTTTTGCTCAAAATGGTCTGCTTGAAAAATGTCCCCTTATGATGTCATAAGAGGAAATATGTTGCAGCCCAGCAGACAAGCTATGGCCTTCGTCTAATGTATCATTCCACTCTCCTAGGCAATCTGTAAGAACTGACTGGTTGTCATGATTGTGGGTTGTGGGGACACAGGGGTGGGGAAAGTAAAACAGCTCGCC